TCTCTTTCCGCTCATTTTGTAGCAGCAGGGGAGGAAATTTCCTCCCCCCGCCGCCTCCCTCCCCCCGGCATGCTGGCACTGCCCCGCTGAGATGCGCTGAGTTTGGGGTTAACTTGCACCTTGCCGCCCTGGAATAGACTCTCCGGACCGGATCAGTTGGGGTTTGTGGTCTATGTCTTGTCGGGAAACCTGGTGGATTTTTTTCTCACTCTTGGAGGAAGAGCCTGGTGCTGGCTGTTGGCTTCGTGGTTTTTTTTGGAGGGCGAAGGAAGGGAAGGGATCTCGCTTGAGCCGTGCAGAGAGAGAGGTCGGACATGTGTTGTCAGCACATCTGGGGAATACAGTCTACGAGTCCGAAAGGAAATTTGCTGGGATCGTTCAAACTGCGATATTGATCTTTGTTATTTTTTTTCGCCGAGGGATGCACTTGGCATGAGAATCAGAGGATGGAAATTGTTTGGGAGGTGCTTTTTCTTCTGCAAGCGAATTTCATCGTCTGCATTTCAGGTACGCAGCTCACAGGGCGGCGGGGGGTGGGGGGTTGGGGGGGATACCAAACACAGGGGTCCCAGACTTCCCCTTAATAAGGGGCAGGAGGTAGAGTTAAACCCAAATCAAAATAGTTGAAAAATACATGAACGATGTATTGTGAGTGCATTGTGACAGAAATCAGCAACTGTCAATCTCCCTCCCTTTAATTTCAGTATCTAAGTAGTAATTATGATACATTTGTTGCAATAAATAACCACAGTGTACTGAGGAAGCTGAGATGCTTAAAATTCCTATCGTACCTGATTGTGATAATGAATTGCAACCTTGCAGCAATCCCAGAATTTCATAGCTTCTGAAGTTCTTAAACTGGTCTGATCTGAGGATCTTAAAAGGCTTGTGGTTCAGTGGCAGAGTTGTCACACAGTTCAGGGTCTGCAAAAAGGGAGGAATGACACTGATGAACGTGCCTCTGCTTTTAAAAGGAGCTTTACTGTGGCCGTGCTCTGAAAATTAATTATAAAAAATAAATAGCCCCATTCAAAGAGCTCCTTGGTGGCTGGGATTCCAGCTTTAGGCTTCTCATTTAAATGTTGCAAAGATCTCTCCCCTCCAGTATGTAGAAGTCAGGTAATTTCAGTTGTCACCAGAGCTTGTCCAATTAATGAATAGGCACGGCTGGGCATCTAGCGTAAAGGATTGGAACAATTTATTCTTGGGGAAAACACTCCCTTGTACTGCAAAAGCCCTGGCTGCCTTGTTAATTTGTCATGTCAGTCGTGCTGGAATAATTATGTTGCAGGAGGCAGGAGTGGGGAGGTGGCCAGTTTTCTAGTTTGGGACACTTCAGGGAGCCCCATGGGGATCCAGGCTGCCTGCGTCTCCCGCTGTTCCACCGCTCTGCAGGCTGCTTCTGCCCTCGAGTCATTGCATAAGTCCGGAAATGGGAACATGAGCAACACAGGCAAGGCACTGCCAGGGCAAGGTGGGGGATCCTGGTGGACTTAGCGCTGTCCAGACTGGAGGTGCTTAAAAGGAGGTCCAGAGCTTCTTTCGGACAATGCAGAGATTGGTGTGGGCCAGATCCCAGCTGCAGCCCCCAGCCAGCAGCCCCTGCAGCA